TTTTTTTTTTTTTTTTTTTGTGTGTCTGTTACCACTTTTTCTCAGCTCTTACCGAACGGATTTCTTTCAACGATACGTCAAAAGATCACAAATTGTGTATAATACACAAGGGATTACAAATACAGGAAGCTAATCGGTGTTTTATGACATTGCTGTCATAGTCACGGATTGTTTATTATCAATTATGACTATCAATAGATATACTTTCTGTATTGTCAGTTAGTGTATTTATAAACTCAAAACAATGTGCCTTACTACCATTGATAATAACAATGCTGTGTAACTGCTAATATCGATGTCATAAAAAATCAATTAGCTACTTGTATTTGTAAACCCTTGTGTATTATACATGTATATTAACTCAACAATTTGAAACTTTAAGTGTTTATATCTAATAAACTAATAAAGTTATACTTAAAATTCAAATTCCATTTACTATTAAATTAAAAACTCAAACATTTTATTAAATTCAAAATATGTGTTCCCATTTAAAAAAACAAAGTTGACACCCTTACCAGGCATAAGGGATGAACTTAAAAATATTACATAGTTAATAATTCAAGAATGATGTGTAACTAAAGATAACCAAAAAAAAAAAATGTTTAAATTATTATTACTCTGTAAGTAATTGGGTGGGTTATGATAAAAAAATCACCTTGTATACAAAAAAAATGTATCAATAAAGCTACAATTGAACGAATTAAACATACTAGAAGAAGATTAATTTTGAGCTAATCCGAGCATATCTAACATAAAAAAAAGAATAATTAAAATTTGCGGAATTTAATTGAGATAATTATAATTTATTTTAAAAATAAAAGTAAGAGAAAAGTAGTTAACCATGGACTCGAGGAAGGTTATGGACGTGTTTGCACAGAAAAATAAATCGTCAATATGCCTGTTTCTAAATTTGAAGATACAAATGTATTGACGTGGATCTAATATAACAACTCATGTTTTCTGTAAATATTTAACTATATATGTAAGAAATAAGTTAAATTTATTAGATTTAATGCAATAATGATGCTTTTAATAGTATTATTCTAACAGTACATTTCATTTAATATAGCATTTAAATATGGATTTAAAATTAATATATAGATTTCGTGAAATTATTTATTATTTATATTTATATTTTATCATAGACAATTTGAATATTTTTCTTAAGTTAGTGATGGCTTTAGCATAACTACAAATTTGTTGATGTACATCAGACAATTTCATAGCAAACACAAAGATTTCCCAATAAAACATTGATTTTTCAATGATTAAAAGAAGTTATTATTATTATATGGTTGATACATATTTTTTATGTTACTAAAAAATCTGAATTTTAAAATTCATTAAACTTTGGAACACATGCATGCATATTTTGTAGTATTTGATTTTTTTCGTTGAATCTAAACATTATTTCATTGTTTATACAGTCGAAAAAACTACTTATAAACTCTTGTTTTCTAACTTTAGGATCTAAGTTTTGATTTTCTCTACAGGCTCCAACTATTGAATAAGTTATGCATTCGTTAAAAAATTATGAACATTGTTGATTCCTTCTAAGATTCTGTTGGTTAACATTAATTATAACATCAGTAGTCTGAAATAATCCAGATGAAGTTGCTAATGCTTCAATGTGAATATTAGTGAATTTCTCTTTTGCCCTTAAATTGTTTAGTCTTTATGTAATGGACTTGAATAATTTTTCACTACGACTATAATCCAAAGTCGCTAATTGAACTTTTTAATGCCAATATTTTAGGAATGGGCCATTCGAAAAATGATCTAATTAAGAAATGACTGGTCGATTATAATTTATAATATATTATTTTATAAGTTATTGTCATTTTAAAATATATACTGAAAGTGAGGGGTGGGTATGACTATTTCAATTTATACATATTTCTCGGTCGCACTTTACCTTCTGTCCATGTACAAAAATGTAAATAACTTCCAGATTACTGATCTAAAAGTTATTATCGATTTTTTTATATATTGCAACTATAATAAAAAAATAATAATCAGTTTTACATACTGATATTTCCTTAATTTAACATACTACGAGGGTGGTGGCTCTCTGTCACATGTTAGGAAGTTAAAGATGGTAATAGACTAGGCTTGGCTAGGCCGATAATGGACGGAACGGATATTATAGACGGCTTACACCAGAGACCAGACACCAACAATGAAAAAATCATGAGAAAAATCTCATTGGCACCCTGGACCTAGTACGCTAAAATATTCGATCCTACCCACTAGCGTAGTCCGACCCCAAAAAGTTGTGATTTACTACTATTGTAATAAAAAAAAAATCCGTCATTAAAAATATTTAATTGTTTTTGGAAACTTAAGAAACCATAAAAATTTTCAAAATATAATGAGCCACTAGAATGTATAGATAAGAGGCGTAATGTGGTACAATGTATAAATAAAGAGGAGCTTAATAATTTCTATGAAATTGTATTTTCAAAAATTTAATTTTTTTCTTCCTATAATTTAATTTAAATCAATACATTGACTTAATTTAGGCGTAATAAATATTAATAGTATAAACTATTTAAACAAAATTGTGCATAATAAATATTTATTTTGGGTTCATAAATTTTATAGCTAGTCTGAATATAAAATTTAAACAGCTTTTACTTTTATCAATAAAACTTAAAAAGATATAATCTTTAGAAAAATTTTGTTTCGGTTAATTTTCTTGAAAGATTGTTAAATAGAACATTAGAATTTTAAAAACATAATGATTTTATTATTTCGTTTCTTTATAACTTTTTGTACATTATTCTATTTAATCTCTAATGTTCATTCAGAATACGTTAAAGAATATGTAAGTGTAAATAGTTCTTTATGATGCCAAATAACCTTTATCAATTAGTTGATCTAGTTGATAAATTAATAAACTGGGAATTTTTAAATAATCTGTATTTTACAATGTGATAAATTATATCATATTTTTAGTTATAAATAATAAAAAAATACCTATCTTAAATGTTATTTTTTGATATTAAAATGTATATATGTTTAGTGCTGATGATGGTAACAATGTATCCCGAAATATGTATAACGCAGTTTATAATATTTTTTATATCTAATTGACTTCAATATTTTTCCGATTAAATTTATATTTTAATTATAAATTTTTGATTTTAAATAATATTAGTTAAAAGTGATCAATTTTTATTATAGAAGTAAAATATTACATACAAGCAGGTTTTTTATAACAAATTTCCTTTTATCTGAAAATTATATTTTCTAAAAAACTCATTTAAACTTAAATTTAATTTTAAATTTACTATGTCAAACAAAACTTCTAGAACATTAAAATAATTTTTTTTTTAAATTATAATATGACATTACATTATGTTTTTGTTAGGAATTTAAACAGGTTTTTTTATGGTTTTTTTTAACAAATTTCTTTTAATAATTTGATGTTAAAATTCTTTAAAATTCCTCATGATTTAGTTAATTTAATGATTTGAAGTAAATAATATAAAACAAATTGTAAAATGAATAATAAAAACATCATGGCATAATTAATACCTTATCTGATTTTCATCGAAATTATAATTTGTATGATGGTAAAATTATGTAATCCCCTAAACTGATTTTATATATATATAAATCAAAATTACTTAAAAACTTAATTCAGATGTTCTAATTACTATTTAATCGCACATTTTGTTTTGTTTATAATTTATACACGAAATAATCATAAAATATAACAATAATACTATTTTTTTTTCTAGTTTTTTTTAATAAAAAAAAAAGTTTTATTTACAACCGTTTTAGTTTTTGTTATGTTTTATTTTTATATAGGACACATATGATGTATTTTATCCAATTACCTTTCAATGGCAACTAAATAAATGTCAACAGTTAAATATTCCATTTCAATACAGAAGTGCAAGAATTCATGATGAGAAACCATTGGGTAAACCAAAAGTCATAAGAAATATACCTGGACTGGTAATGTGTTTCTTTAACGCAATATCATACGCATTAACTGGATCAACAAAATACGGAAAAGTATTACGTAGTAACATACTCCAAGTAATTTTACTAATCACTTACATGGTTGCATTTTTAAATTTACATATCAATTAATAAACTTCTAGTTTATGCAAAAATCAGAAATTCACGGGGGAGATGATTGGCAAAAAAGTCATATTGAATCAATGCAACATAACCTTAGTAAGTAATTGTAGTAATTAAGCTGGATGTCTTGTTTTGTCTTTAGTCTAATGTATTTTTTTATAATTTTTAGATGAATTCGCTGGATCTGATGAAATCTTTGCAGCTGCAGATTATTTGCAAACATCTATATATGTCTTCTCTGAACATATTAGTGGAGATTGGATGTTTTATAGTAAAGAAGGATATGATGGTGAAAGAATTAAAGAACCAAGCATCTATTTATATCACTCAGGGTTTGAAATTACCGGCCATTTTGATTATGTTATTGATGTGGTAAATAAATTTATTAATATAAAAACATTATTTAAAATATTGATGAATTATTTGGATTTATTACAAAATTGTTCATTAATATTTAAAAATTTAACAGTAATTATTAGTAATTGTAATAATATTGTTTATTACTAAAGATATAGTAAGTTATTATTTAAAAATATGAAAAACGAATTGTAATTAAATTAAAATAATATTATACAAATGCAAATGATGATCACCACTAACATAATTTAAGGATCATAATATTGCTGTTAATATAAAAAATAATATAAGCATAATACACTTTTGTACATAACTTAGACTATCGATAAAAAATTTGGAAAGTCTATTTTTATCATAGTATTTATAAAATCGAATATTATTTAAAATGGTTTCAAAATAACTATATCTTTTAAATAAACCAATATATCAAATAAATTTGTTAAACTCATTGATATCATAAAAATATGATATCGTATTTTTATCAACTAGAATCACAAGTAGTAAAAGTCTCACTGAAAATGTATGAAACATTATTATTAAATTCTTTAAAAAATAACTCATTTTATTACTATTAATAATAATATTGCCATATTTAATTAATATTTTATATAATAGGAACATATACTTGAATCTACTTTTTATGAACCAACATTTGAAAGTATATTTATACCAGTACTAGGAAGTTGGCAATCTGAGAAAATGGCAGAACTTTTGGAATCTAAAACAGTCGCTAAAATATTATTCAAAAATGAAATTGTCAAACCCTTAGACACAAATATAGTAGAAGTAATGGAAGATATACCAAAAGATGGAAACAGTTTTTTCAATTCTTTGTCTTATTGTATAACTGGTACAATTGACCATTCTGCAAAATTACGTGAACTCGTAGTTAATGTAATAATAAAATATCCAAATAGTACTTCATTTAAATTTTTTTATTCATTAATATCAACACGTATATTTATTGATTTTATTTTTATATAGTTCATGAAAGAATCTGTAGTCATAAAAACAATTATTAATGACGAAAGCATTCTCAATGATCGTATAGAAAATGTGTCAAAAGACCGTAAGAAATTTTTGAATAAAAAAACTTGATACCTACTAATAAATTAAAATTTACAGCATATATCTAACTATAGTCTAATATTACGAATCTAAGTTTTTATTTTTCTTCAGATAGGTGTATGTTAAGTAGTATTTGCTACTTTTGATAGCTTTAATCACTAACAAAACAAATAAATAGTATTTTATTTTTAATACAATCACAATACCACCAATTCTATTTCAATGTTTCTTAATTTTGTGTTAAAATTATTTTTTAAATTAATTATTAATTTTTAAATCATTTTTCTAAAAAATTGAATCATATTAAAAATATTAATTTAAAACTAAAAAATATGTATATGTTAATTGTATGTGTTTAGCGTTGACTTTTTGAATTAATTATTTTTAATATTTTTTTAATTTTACATTAACATTTTTAGTATAAATTTATTGTTTTTTAAAGTAGCCACAAGTGATCAATTGTTATTACATCATTTTCCTATAAATAAATAATGCCAATTAATGACACAATAACATTTACAGTGGTTTCTGTAGATGGGCCTGTAATATATGCAGCAGCTGAGTTATTAAAAACATCTATATACATTTACTCTCAAGATGATCAAGAATGGGATTTTGTGAGCAAAAATGGGCCAAATGGAAAAGAAGTTTATGAACATTGCATCTACTTGAATAATGTTGATCATTTCAAAAATATATTCAAAATTGTCCAAGATGTATATAAAAAAAAAAGTTATTTATCTGAATAAATATTCTATAACTAAATACACTTAATTTGTTTTTATCAATTTATTTGTAAATAAATAACAATGTGTCTATTGATATTCCTTGAATCTTATTTAGAAACAATATTATTGATGATTCTAAATATTTCTTAGCCAGTGTGTAAATATTTTAAATAAAAATACTATAATTCATATAATAAAATATAGGAAAGATACAATTGATAGAACAAGTAGTATGAATGCACCCATCAATTCAAGAATCTAAAACAAAAGAAGGTTATTATATACAGAGTGATTAATTAAGGATATGATAAGATATGTATATAATCATATCATATACAGAGATAACACTCGTTTACTCATGTAATAAACCAAAAAGAAAAAAAAAAGAAAAATTTTATTAGAATTTAGAATTATAAGATGAGATGAAGGTGATGAAATAGGCGGTAGGTATTGGGGACGAATGGTAATAAAAATTATTAAATAAGACGGTAAATGGCGGAGTAACACATGTTTAAATGTGGCAAGATATGTAAGGGTGCAAAGGATATAATGATACGAATAAAGAAGAATTCAGAGGGGTGAATAAACGGAGTTTAAATACATGAGGGTAATGATCAAATAAATAAAAATGTACACAAACGTTGTGACAAAAATATTGAACTGATCTCGGGGTTGAACAATATTGAATAAATGAAGTCAATTATCCTACCAAACTTTATTACCTATCTTAATGGTTTATTACGCAATAGAGTATTTATAATTTGAAAGCGAGAATTTAAATTTGTACTTACCTTGCATCCCACGTAGTATAATGCTTATTTTAGACAATCCAATGTTGATTATGAGTTCACACTGTATTTCACACGTTGTACACTTTGAGTTCGACAGTAAATATGACCGTTTGAGAATAAAACGTTTAATTATAAATAATACGAAACCGTTACACAAAATCTATGACTGCATTATTGTGTGCAGGAGATTCTATACATTCTATATCTTTTATAATTATAATCGAATGATGTATTTTTAGTTGACTTTGTAGAATGAGTATATTTTTGAGATTATATTTTATTGAGAGATCGACACCAATATTTCTTAAATTTTCCTCTGGCCTGGCCAAAACAAGATTCAGAAATATTTATATCTATGTAAAAGATTTGTCAAGGCGGAATTGTGGTGGCCCAATGTGTCCCGGTGCTAAATTAAAGCACCTTGAAAGGATGCGGCACAATAATCACCAAGACAAAAATTAAACACTAAAAACATATATTTGTAAGTTTCTCTGTGCTGTCTGCCGGCGCGATGTTTGTTAAGACAAAGACATTAAACCACAGAAGATTAGCTACCCAATACACATAGGCTTACAAATATATTCTAACCTAACACCTAACTTTAAAAATATTTAATTGCAACCTTTACTCTGTCTGCCGGCGCGATGTTCGTTAGAACAAAGACATTAAACCACAGAAGATTAGCTACCCAATAAGTATAGAGTTGCAATACACTTAGTCATATAATAAATATTTATCATTAACTGAGAAAATTAGAGTTGATTCGGTTTTATTATATAAAAAAAAATGTTTTATTTTAAAATATTAATTGACATTTATTTCCATGGTAAAATAAAAATAAAATATCATTATATAATGAACAAATTAAATTAAATTAAAAGATTCACCAAAACAAAATTCACTTTAAAATTTCTAAGTGTCATTTAGTTTTAAAGAAAAATATTCTAAGTCCAAATAAATTAAAAAAAAAGACTAAGTGTTTTAAAAATTGAAAAATATTCTAAGTCCAAATAAATTAAAAAATAAACTAAGTCCCAGAGAGTAGAATCTTGAGTAGAGTGTCGCAGATTTTGTGTAATTTAAAATAGCCGAAAGAACTGATTTTAATAGGAAAAAATGGGTTTTTATAGTAGACGAGGGTCGTGTAGCGATCCCTAGTGTGATCTTAGAAACTGTAGATCTTAATTAATAGTTGAATATGTTTGGCTGGACCTACTTGAAGACCCACACATGGGCGTGACTTTGAATCTGTACGATAATCAGATTTAATTGACTAATTTATTGATTATTTTAAGTCTTAAATAAGGGAACCCTGTTTTGGTGATCTTGTGAATTCATAATATATGACATACATGTACANAAATTCACAATATATGACATACACGTACAAAAGATAACATAATATAATATTTTAATATTATAAGAAATAATATAATATTACACTCAGTAACTATTGAAAATTTAAAATTTTTGGTAAGGAAAATATTGTTTTATTTAGAAAACACTACAATATTATGTAGTAATAATATGTTATTTTTCATCCCTTCAAGTTTAAAAAACACATTTTTTAAAATGAAAACACATATTTTGAATTTAATAAAAAGTTTGATTTTTTAATTTATTAGCAAATGTCATTTGAATTTTTAATATAACTTTAATCGTTTATTAAATTTAAACATTTAAAATTTAAAATTTTTGAGTTAATATACATGTATAATACACAAGGGATTACAAATACAGGTAGCTAATCGGTTTTTATAACATTGTTGTCACAGTCACGGATTGTTCATTATCAATCATGACTATCAATAGATATTACTGTATTGTCAGTTAGTGCATTTATAAACTCACAACATTGTGCCTTACTACCATTGATAATAACAATTCTGTGTACCTGCTAATATCGATGTCATAAAAAATCAATTAGCTACCTGTATTTGTAATCCCTAGTGTATTATACATGTATATTAACTCAAAAATTTGAATCTTTAAATGTTTATATCTAATAAACGAATAAAAATTTGGGCATTGATGGATCAATTATTATTGGACAACAAATAATTGTGAATCCTTTCACTCGCATTTGAATTGGATAGTTTTATAAGGCGCATACTTCAATTAATATATTTTACAAAATTTCAATAAAAAATATTCAATCTCATAAAATATATAATTGTGATAATACAGTCTTAAAAAACGTACGGAATAAAATTGAAATTCGTTACAAAAAAACAATTAAAAAGGCAATTAAAAAATTTAATAAAATTTAAATTAGCAAATTTCAATTTGTAAAATTAGTTTCCAACAACTATGGAAAAATATATAGATCATAGATCTATATTTTATAATATTATTATACTTATTAGATATTTTTTAAGCTTAATATTAACATTTGAATTTTCTTTCAATGTTTTGATGACTTTTATAAATTTTTTATAAACTATACATCTANGGATGACTTTTTATTTTTTATAAACTATACATCTATTATTTATTACAAAAATATATATACATACAGTCTCATCTATTATAATTTATTTACCTTTGATAAAACGCCATACTTTGTTTATGAAAGTGAACTATGCGNTGATAAAACGCCATACTTTGTTTATGAAAGTGAACTATGCGATGAAATAAACAATTATTCAAAATGACGTAACTAGAGCTTTACTAGTTATTAAAAACTAGTATTTAAGAGGTAGTATAGAGGGGTAAAAATAAATGACAAACATTTTGGTACTGGCTTTGTGATAACTCATGGAAAAAGTTAAGCGGTTCTCAAATTTGTTAGTAGATAATTAGGTAAAAAATCAATTTGACGGAAACAAAATACTGACCTTATTCAGGTTTGGCGGAAACGATAATCTCCCAAAAATTTTTCTTAACATACTAACACCTAAAATTTTGATACATAAAAATTACATTAAAACATGCTAAATATGATTTTCTACCACAACTAAAATTAAAGAGCGCGCACGCGAGTTAATACGAGTGAGTGACAAAATGTACTGCAAAAAGCTTTTATACTAGTAAGCACATGTGACTATGTGT